CACACACACACACACATTGTGCCTTCAATATAAAAAGGACTTGGGATTGTAAGATTGCACTTTTGGTTCACATCTACAGTGAGTGTCTCCAAAGATATACAGATAAAAAAAACATAGCTAAAGGTCACAGCTACCTTTAGGTGAAGTTAAGACAATCGGGTATACCATTTGGGAAGGGATTATTAGAGAAAGGTAAAAAAGAGAGAAAAGAAAGAACAGAGACAGAGAGGGGGAAAAAAGTGATTGAGACCCTGACATATGAAAGGGAAGGGGAATGGGAAACAGCAGAGAGACAGAGAGAGAGTTAGGTAAAGCTGGAGAGAGACAGAATGGGTGAGTCAGAGAGGAAAAGGGCAAAGAGATGCATCAGTCACTCTGTCATTTGAACAACAAAGAACACCCTTCACAAAACAGTTGGAATAAGAATGGAGAAGTCCTCTTGTTTCAGAATAAAGAAATGCATTAACATGTGAGGGCATTTCATAGTTCTTGCCACAAAAGTTGATTGTTTTCCTTTTCTGTGGTTCCAGTGACATTTTCTATGAACTGAGGCGCGACATAAAAGGAGAGTTACAAATGGAGAGAAAAAGTCAGATATGAAAACGGTCACTCAGACAGACGAACAAAGACACAAACAAAAACACAGACTGACACATTCATAGAGATAGTGACTGACATGCCAACCCACCAACTGGCCAACAAACAAGCCTTCTTTACCTGCTATTATTGTAATAATAATAATAATAATAATAATAATAATAATAATACACATGAGTATGACACACTGTCTTTGAGAGCAGAGATCCAACAATTGTCACCAGAAACTAAAGTAAATGAATGCAAAATAATAATATGATTTTTACCTGCTATCTTGGTGGTGATGCGGGTGGTGACAGGTGGGCCGAAACCCTTGTTTGTGGAGGCTTTGAGGGTGAAGAAGTAGGTGGTCCCTGGGTAGAGGCCTACGAACAGGTGATGGGTCTCATTCCTCAGCTTGAACACCCGTCCCCTCTGGGTTGTCAGATCGGCGCTGGGGTCCAAGGAGCTCAGGGCCTTGTAGGTAATCTAGAGACAGACAGGAGATGTTTAGTTTTAAACATTTCAGCTTTACTCTGTTTGGTCATTTACTTTTGTTAAGTTTGGCTCAGTTCAGATAAATTAATCACAGTTACGCTTTGCTTAGCTTAGCTAGTTGTAGCATTTATGTATTTGGAAGTATTGTGACTCCTTTAAAGTAAACAAATTGTTGATAGTTGAACTTAAATTCCTTTGGTTGTTTTTGATTGTCGGTTCTTATAGTTTAGACTAGCAAAGCTTAGTTGCTCTTGATTTAACATTGATTACTTCATCTAAAGTAGCTTATTATTGCAAGGGTTATAAAAATACTATTATTATTATAGCCTATAACTGTCTATCTGTATTAACATTGCTTTAATTATGAAAGATTCTAAAGTAATCCAATTTAGTTTTTGCAAAGAATAAAATCTGTGTTTAGCTCTTCTTTGACCATCTCTTGAAGAAAATATTTGAATCTAAATCCCAACTGTGATGAAAGTGTTGAGGATCAACAAAAACAATAAGTTGAAAGATGCTAAAAAATCCTGTCAGTGACCCATTTCATTTGAGTAATCATTTATATACAAATATAGATTAGTAAAACTTCAGTTTAACATATTTATATCATTGTGGCTTTTTTATCTTTGCAAAAGGAAAAGTACTCAAAATTAAACGAAATGTCTGGTGTTCCAATCAGATTACTAATTAAAGACTAAGTTACTGCTCACTCCATGTATTTTTCTTATTAGACTGAAATCTTTCTGTGCAACTATTCATCAATTTTCATTTCAAAACAAACATTACGTTTCAGAGTTTGACCCCCCCAACCACTTCCACTGTCACATCAGAGCAAATCCAACACATCGATCAACTCTTACTAAATTGTCTGTTAAACGGCATACACATCAATTTTGGAATTAAAGTGACTCTGGCTCTTTACTACAGGTCTGTGTTTCTCCACATGATCTCTACTTTGAGACTGGAACAAATTGAGCAAATTGACCAATGGCCACTAAAGTGGCAGAAGCACTTCAATAGTTTCCCCGTTAAAAGAACTGTCAATGTCTGTTGTAATGTTGCTACTGGCAAGTTTCCACACTGCACAACTGTCAATGAGTGCACACACACGAACACACATGGCAGAACACTGGAGAACAGCTGTCATTTTGAATGACAGTCAGTACAAAAGAGTATTGACTGGTTTGGAAAAAACACATTAATATCAATCCAACCCTAAACACATTTCAGCACTTCATCAAGTATATGTGTCTGTGTCAGGGTCTCTAAGAGCATTTCAGTTTGTCCTTCAGCCACAAAGTGAGAAAAGAAAATACTCAATATATAAAGTGCGGATGCAAGGTGAGAACCAGTGAATGAACAAAAGAGACAACATGAATGAACCAGAGGGCACTCTGTGGAGCGGAATCTCCTCCGCCAACACAAAATGTTTCTCCAACTTGCAAGGCTACAGCCCCTGGAATGGTTTTCCATGTTTCCCGTCATTTGTCTTCTGGGTTTGATTTCTTGACAAAAGCATGCAAGGGCAGCACTGTTTAGCTGACTGCCAACTAGGAATTCGCAGAGGAAAACTTTCCCACCAGAATGAGCGGCGCATCATAGCTATGGCTACAAAAAGAGAAAATATAACTAAAGCTCAAACTCACATCCCCATAAAATTCAAGAAATACTAGAGCTGAGAGCACCCTGTAGACCAAATCAAATCCAAAATCTGTTAGTCTAGGCTATAAACAAACAAATGGGGTAAAATAAACATAAAGCATGAGAATAAAAAAAAGAGAGATGCATTGCAAAGATAGCATATCTGTTGATTGCTCATTATTTGTAAGTGTGAGAGAGAAAATGAACAGCAGAGAGAGCTGTCCTAATGGACCAGTGGTCTAAGATGGGTACCAAATAACCATAAACTCTCTATTTTGGATTCAGCCAGGGAGCTTTTTTGCATGTGATCCCCATTTCCCATCTGCCCATGTTTCCTGTCACACTATACTCTGGTCAGAATGAATTAGACAGAGAACAAAACTAAATTAGAAAGTGAGCTGGAGCTCATGGAAAAAAAAAAAGTCCCAGTGACACCAAAATATGTATTGATGTGTTACAAACTCCAGGCACTTCTATTCCTCGTTCTGCAATAAAGCTGCTTTGAAATAAATTCTTACAGAACACTGAGAGTTAGAGAGTAAAAGTGAAGGCGAGACAGAGAGAAACAATAAGCACGGGAGAATACGAGAGAGATGTGGAGCGACAGAGCAAAAAAATACTGGGACACGGAGCTGTAATGAAAAAATGCTGCCCAGGATACACACAAACACGGTTGCACAAGAACACACTGATACGAGACGGATTCCAGAGAGAGACTTCATTTAATGTACAGACTGATTATCCTTATGATTATTTTTAAATGTCTTTTGGCATTACTGTTCTTGATTTGCATGCCAATAAAGAACTGGATGATAGTTTTTAATCTCACGTTGAGAGTAGCTCATACTCAGTTTTATTACATGCTTTTTAGTACATGCAGAAAAAAATGCAATGTAAGTGATAACAACTGTAAGAAAGTCAAAGTGAAAGAGAAAAATTAAGACAGAGAATAAATGAAAGAGGCAGAAACAATAGAGAGCCAGAGTCAAACTGAGGTTGAGAATGAGTCTGAAGAGGAAACAAGACAAAGCGAGAGAGCACACACAACAAGAGTGATAACAAATGATGCAGATAGATGTTGTGTAAAAAGGGTACCTCGGAGGCTGGAGGTGAATTGTGTTTGTAAGTGTGTGAGTTTGTAGCGTGAGGCAGCGGTCCGCTCGTGGACGTCAGGCGGCCCTCGTCGCTCCATTAGCGGACTCAAATTTAAAAGCACTGACAGCCGGGCACCTCACTTCGACTATAGGCCTGCAGGCTGGACTCGTGAAGTGTGAACGTGTGACTGTGTGATGCGTATGTTTGTGTGTGAGAGAGAAAGGCGGAAGAAAAGAAAGCAAAAACTGCAAAAGCTGGAGGTAGATCCAGAAAGACTGCTTTATCCGCCAAATATGGCTTTTTCCTGAAGGGATGGTAGTGTTCAGCAAACTCAAATTCAAGGTTTCTTTCAGAGGCTAGATTCATGTTTTTCGGCAGTCCGAAAACCAAAATAAATTAAATAAGAATAATTCTACTCTGGGGTGATCTGAGATTGACTAATTTATTTTTTCTGATTTGATGTAATATGTTTTATGGCATTAATTCCAGTAAAGACCACATTAAGAGCTTAATGAGCGTTAATAGGTTGCTTTCATTACAGAAGATACATACTGTATCTCCTGATATTCATAAGCTCTTGCTCTGGTATTTCCATTAGTTGGCCTGGATGACGTGTATGTTATAATTTATAATGTATCACTAGCCGAGTTCCCATTCAAATGTATTGCTAATTTTAACCGAATTTCAAGTAAATCGCCAAAAGAAAATGCGAATAAATACTTGAATCCATCCGCTAACATTATGCGATAAGTATGAGTTGGTTCATTGAGATAAGCAGTTTTTCCAGCCAATTTTCCAGCTGGAAAACCAAAAGAAGAGGGCGCAAAAAGCGCCAGTCAAAACTCAAACGGTGAAAAAATAATAGAGAAAAACATGGAATGATGATATTTCTGGTTGTTTCATGTATAAATGCAAGGAAGGTTACATCAGATCTGTGTGCAGCCAATCATAGATATATTATAGAGCCATGGGAGCATTGAGGAGACTATCAGAGCATAAAACAACTTATCGGTAAATGTACTAATACGATATTTCAAAATGTGCAACAATACCCATTAATGATAGCATAGGTACTGTTTTGTTAAAGGATTCAAGGGCAATTCACAACAGCTGCCATTTTCTCTACTTTCTTTAGCATGTGAACATGTGAAGAAAATCTATAATGATTGATCAAAGCTCTCAGTTTCACTATGGGCATTTAGAGCTATGGCGGGTGGGAGAAATAACATAAAGCAATCAATAAATAAACAATTTTTTTTTTATTCTTATGGGCACATTTGAAACATTTTCTCCTGTGCCTCTCCTTGGAATTTGGAGCAGCTGTATCTCAGGCGGTCCTTGAGCAAGACTTAGAACCTCTAAATTGCTCCCAATGTATGTGTAAAGTAGCAACGTAGCAACGTAGCTTTGGACAAAAAGAAAGCAGTTCCTATGATGTGACAGTGATGGCTCTTAGAGAGGGCAGAAGGTCAGACTAAATATAAATTGAATGGATGGATTCTCCTGTTGCACTAATGTCTCACTTCTGTTGTGAATTTAAGGTCAGACTCACATTGTCCACTGTCTGTTTGAATGGCACTGCCCTCATCTGGCCTAAATGAACCTAACTGTGAGTGAGTGGTCCAGAGTTTAAATTAAGTCCTACACACAGTTTTCCTCTATTATCATTTTGTTTCATTGCCACTACACTCAAAAAAGAATAATAAGAAAGTTTTTGTCTCTACTTTTTCCGGCACTTAACCCTCTTGGTACAACAAAGACAACTAAACGCCACTCAGATTAAGGAACCTGGGACAAAACCTTTAGCCAATAGAGGACAGCGGACTAAAATGCAGCAGAAAGCCCACAGCAGGGCAGCAGCCTCGGATTCGACAAGCGGCTGACGTCTCCCAGGCCTGAAAGTTCGCCTGGCTGGCTGAATAAAACATGTTAAATCAATAGCTATTTATACAGACTGGGACTTAGGGGCTGGAACAATAAAATATAATCTATTTCATCTACGCTGCAGTTTTGGTTTGCACATCGATGGCTGTTATTTTATAAGTCATGAATGGCTCTCTATATTTTTATGGGCTTTACGATCTCTCTCTCTCTCTCTCTCTGACTCTGCTCTCATCTCACCCACCATCTTTCTCTCTCTTTCCTTATTACGTGATAGACTCTTTTTCTCTCTTGTATCGCCCTTTCCCCTGAGGTAAATATTTTCTGGACACCCTTCTCTACTTCTCCACTATTTTCTCAATTTTCTCTCCACA